CCCCCCCCCCCCCCGTGTCTCGACTCAATATCGAGATTACCGTCTGCAGAATCTCGCGAGTTGAATATCACGAGCGGTCGCGTGAACCGCGTATCCGAGTTGCTGAGTAATTTCAGGCGTTGCAACCAACGTTTCATCCCCAAGTCTGAGCGCGGTCTTAATCGTTACGACGAGGAATTGAGGGAACAACATAATCCCCGTACATTTGAATTTTTTACCGCAAATATACGAAGCTGGTTCATTGTTTATTCACGACAACGAAAACGCAGCGTATAAAGTGTATGGAAAATAACTCAACGAAATTACGGTAGTTTCTAACGTAGTATTTCTTTCAAACAATTCATTGCTTGTAACAACTATTGTAATATTTGGATAAAATGCAAAAGAAATATGTCATTTGATATAAACATATTTATTGTTTGAGAAACCAAACGATTCTGTTTGTTGAATCAAACATTTATTTGTTTGCTTTATTCCAAAAGACAAATTTGTTTTAATGAGAGAAATATTTTTCTCCGTGTACAACCAGACACTGCAGTCCCCGGGCTAATATTTTACTTGCGACATAAAAAATTAAACTAACCGAGAGAACGGTTTTAATTCCCATTGCTAAGAGCACTCGAGAAACTTAGTTGCACGTTGTGCGGGAGGAATTGTCGGAAGAATGGAGAAGTAAAAAAATCTACAAGACATGCAAATCATGGATGAAAGCAAGAGGAAAACGTGAGGGGAGATGGGGTGAGAGCAGGGCGAGGGATCGAGAGGGGAATCGACGAGAACGAAAAGATTTGTGAGATGAATTTCCGCGAGCGACCCTACCATGTTCGGCCGAGTGATAATTAGGGCTCTTCGTCACCGAGGTGGTAGGCCAGCCGGTGCTTCCACAAGAAAGCCCTCCGATCGAACAAACTTCCTTCGCTAAGTAGCTCTCCAGAGATTAAACTCGGTCTCCATTCAGCGCGGAGAAATGCACTTTCTTGGAGAGTCAAGAATGACCGACCGGGCGGTATTTATATTCGGCTTTTTCGCCGCTAAAAGGATCCGAACAAGTGTGTCGCATAATTACACGATAATTACAAGAACATTTCAAAGAGATGTAATCATCATGTGCGACAATAATTTGAATAAGAAGCCTCATTTCTCGCGAAGTATTCACTCGGCGGTGCTTAATTCGCCGAAATCTCCGAGAACGACTTTGATTGCGAAATATACTGCTTGATGTCGCCGGCTCGGTTCTAATTAAACTTAGAATATCGATCTGCCTCCGTGTACACGAAGTCACTAGAAAGCACTTGATACTAATTTATGCATATAGCGTCTTGAGAAGCGTTAATTATTCCGAGGTCGAGGCTGCGATGAAGACGCGAACCTCGCGAAGTTTGGTAGCGACTTTCGCTAACTTGGATAACGCTATCGCGTCCTTGCTAGCTGACAACATATATAAAACAGCAACTGCTGCGGGGTAAACGCGGCAGGAGAGAGGAAGATATACGAAACATAATGCGAAGGTCTCCAGTGTGCTTCGAAACTTCGCAGCACGCCGACAAAAATTGCCAAGTCGGAGGTGGAGAAACTAAGGA